CAGAGAGTCTGGCCGACATCAGGCGGCTCTCGGCGGCTACTGGGAGCGCTGGCCGCCGTCACAGCGGTCAAACTGGGACCTATCCTGATGAAATGACCACATATTTGGCGTTTACACCAAAACTTTCTCGCCTCAAATAATCATAAAACCACAGTTTGTGTCACAATAACAACAGTATTTACAGAAAGCCTGTGTTACCGTTGAAAGGTTTCTCCTCGGCTTTTGCCGCTGGTTGGCGCGAAATGCATTCTGGGATACTTGCTGTCTGAAGTCCACACAGTCCGGTCTGATGCAGACTCCATAATGTGGGCGGAGCCAGAACACATCCGGGCATTTCATTGGTCAGATGCCTACTTAGAATTGGGACAGAACTTGGTCTCAGACTGATGACATTTCACAAGTCCGCAAGAACGCAAGTACGGACATTGAGACACGGCTCCCATTAAAGTTGTGCAGTTGATGTAAGCGGACTTTTACCTGTGCTGGTCATACAACTGATGTTTACCTGTACAGGTGAGTAACGGTGTGGCCATTGTCCGTCCTCCTGGTCACCACGCTGAGACAGATGCTCCCTGTGGTTTCTGTGTTTTCAACACAGCGGCACTTGCCGCTCGCTACGCCCAGAGAATCTCCCATGATCCTCTGCTGCGAGTCCTGATCCTGGACTGGGATGTTCACCATGGCAACGGGACTCAGCACATGTTCGAGGACGATGATAGGTGATAAGGGGGTGAAGCTTATGTCCAAATCCTAACCCTGCAGATCGGTGAACTGATGACTGCTTGTCTCTGTCTTTAGCGTTCTGTACATCTCTCTCCATCGCTACGACGACGCCATGTTCTTCCCGTCTTCAGAGGATGCCGCCACCAACAGGGTGGGTGTGGCTAAGGGGGTGGGATTTAATGTCAACGTGGCATGGAGTGGAGGACGGATGGGCGACTCCGACTACCTCGCTGCTTTTCACCACGTTGTCATGCCGATTGCTGTCGAGGTAACAACAAAGAACAATCATTCAGTCAATCACAAACACACAGCTCAAAAAAGTAAAGGGAACACCTCAGCAACACGACGCGACTCCAAGTCAGCTACACAGCTGTGAGACCAACCTGTCCAGGTAGGAAGCAGCACTGATGGTGAA